GCAAGTCTGAGAGTGCAGGTCTGAGAATGCAGGTCTGAGAGTGCAGGTCTGAGAGTGCAAGTCTGAGAATGCAAGTCTTAGAGTGCAAGTGCAAGGCTGCAGCCAGACCCTTCTCAGATATTTTACCTTAACCGACCCTTATTGATTGCTTTCATTGATGTAAGCCAACAGGGTCTGGCTAATATTTAGCCAGATAGGCTAATGGTCATATTTAATACATTTAAGGTAGATTTAAGGGTATATGAATAACCCTTAAGCTCAAGTAAGCATTAAGTAAAAAAGATAGGCTATTACTGGGCTTTTGGTTATAACTTACCCAAAAAGTACATCGGAGTTGTGGTCACAAAAGCCATGAAATAAATCCCAGCTGCGAAAGACACCATGCCGATCATGACCATGCTCTCATCTCTAACAGAACATCTTGTGAACATCTTCACACCCAAAAAACTGGTGACGAAGAGAAGCGATCCCGCCGCGTTTCCATAACCCACCTCAGTTGCGCCCCAGCCGAGGGGGTCTTTGAGCACATAAGCTGCCAACATCTCCATTCCTCCAGCCACTGCTATATCATACAAAATCCCACTGAGGAAGAGCAAAGCGATGTTTATTTTATCGCGGGCTTCGTGGTTTATGATCCCAACACTTTCCCGGCGCTCCTGCCTCTCTCCAAGCTCGGAGAAATCGACTTGCAGGAAAAATGCGGCATAGAGCAGGCAGAGGAAATACAGCAGCACGCTAAAACTAGATAAAATTGCTCCTTGTTTGAGATCTACGGTGTAGAGGTTAAATAAGTGACCAGAAGCCAAACTACCAATGAACCCGGCGACTCCATACACCAGCTCGGTTCTCATGATGCGCACGGACCGCTCCTCCTCACCGGAGCACACCGACACCAGCGCCATCACACCTGCCCAGTACGATGCGAACCCGCCGCACAGTCCATGGATCACCGGCACCGCGTCTTTCTTGCATTTTGTATTTCTGGGTAAGAATAAGATGCACTTCATCCGGTACTTAGTGTCTTTCATTCCAACATGAGAAAACATATCTGGAATCTGAATCTGAAATAGCATTTAGATGTATTTACACAGTTTATGTGTCTCAAAGGGGACATGCATTTGACCTGCAGTTACAGATGCATAAATAATGTTTTGTTTTTAACATAAAACCTTGAATACTGATATTTGAAATAATTTAAAACATGAACTAAATAGTCGAAATGTGAAATTAAAACTGCCAGTAGGTGGCAGCAAGTGACTGTTAATGAGTGAGTCATTGAGATTCAACCGATTCATTCAAACGACTGATTCATTCAGGAACAAAGTATTTGACTGTGTTAATGAGTGAATCACTGAATCATTTATTCAACCGATTCGTTCAAAAAGCTGATTCAGTCAATAAGTAAAAACATCCATTGCTCAGAGACGCAAAACAGTGCTGTGATCTTTGGAACTATTTTCGTTAGCAAAATTGAGCGAAAACAAGCAATATTATGTCGAAAATGTAAGTCACTTATTGCTTTACTGAACTTGTATAAAATGATTATTAAATGTGTTCATGCTGATATCTGCAGAAAAACGGTAGGCTACTCTTTGTGTGATATAGATTAAGTTAACTATATTAAATTATATGAACATAAAAAAGCATGCAAAAGCATTTTTTGCCGTCTACAATTTAGAATGCCTTGAATTTTGAGTTTTAATAGACTAATAAATCGCGTGCGTGCACTCTCTGTGATATACTTGATAGTGTCAGATCACACATCATTACAACACTTACGATATTATCGCAGACGATGCTGTATCGCACGCCCCAGACTCGACCTGAGTGGAAAATGAATCATCCGCGGTTGTGCCGCAGTTGTTTACACATGAGCAAAGGTGTTTTTAGGAGTCTAACTTGCAGACGCCAGACCACTGATTTGTCAAACCTGCTTTCCTGCAGTCCGTGCTCTTCTGACTTCTGACTTTATTTTGTAGTAAGTAACGAATATGCTTTGGGGAAATGTATCGGAGTAAAAGTATACATTTTAATTAGGAAATGTAGTAGAGTAAAAGTTGGCTGAAATATAAAACTCAAGTAAAGTACAGATACTCCCAAAAATACTTAAGTACTGTAACGAAGTATTAATACTTTGTTACAATACACCACTGATACACACTCAGAAAAAATGGTACAAAAGCTGTAACTGAGGCAGTAACTTTTCAAAAGGTATATTTTTGTTCCTTTTAGGTACTGATGTATACAGCTCAATGACAGCTTTTGTTTGATCTGAGTGTACAGGACTCGTACTGTGCTTTAGCTGGAAGCTTCAGTTTGAAGTTAAACACGTCTTAATGGTGGATTTGTTTCTTACAAACACACGGCTTTTCATTTCCCAAGCTGTTAACTGATGGACTGGAGTGGTGTGGATTATTGTGATGTTTTTATCAGCTTTTTGGAATCTCATTCTGACGGCACCCATTGATCCATTGGTGAGCAAGTGATGTAATGCTATATTTCTCCAAATCTGATGAAGAAACAAATTCATCTACATCTTTGATGGTAAACTTTCATCAAATGTTCTTTTTTGGGTGAACCCTTTAAACTCTTTTGGCATTACATTTGTCACATTGACAGATTTCGATGAGTCAAGAATAGAGTCGTTTTACACATTTTCTTTTTAATGAGAAAATAATTATATATGTGTGTACGAGTGAGACTTACAATTACTATAAAACAATATAAGCAGAATATTAACATACAATAAGTGGTTAACATGTCAGAAGAGAGCTTTTGAAAGCATGATTGCATTATCACACCATATCAATATCCCTTTGGTTTCTCCCAAAGGGAACTAGAGCACTCAATAAACCTTTTAAGGAAGCAATTGCAAACGGATTTGCCATAATAACTATTTAAACAATAAGAGCAAAACACGCAACATATTTTTGGTGTTACTTTAAAAGTAAAGATAAAAAACACTGCTTACTTGGTTCAAACTGTGAAAAAAACAATACTTCTTGTGATTTCATTAAAGGCAAGATTTTTTTCTTTGAAAAGCACAAACTGTCTTCTGTGAAATTGACAACGAAACTGAAAATCTATCGCAACAGATGCAGTAGTTGTCATGCACATGGGACACTGGCGAGGAAAATGCTTGACTACAAGTCTAAAGTATGTTTGTAGTTGAAAACTTTAGCATTCACATTAGCGACGGAATTTCACGGACAAAAAGGTAGCCAGTAGTGTGTCCAAAGTCGCTTTCAAACTGTTGAAAAAACCAACATATGCTGGTTAGGTATGTTTTGAAGCTGGGATGGTGGTTTGAGCTGGTCCTTTGCTGGTTTATGCTAGGACCAGCATAAACCAGCAAAGGACCAGCTTAAACCAGCAAAGGACCAGCTTAAAGCAGTTCAAATCAGCATCTCAGCTTCAAAACATACCTAACCAGCATATGCTGATTTTTTTCAACAGGGTTGCCAGATCTGTGGAACAAAACCAGCCCAATTGCTTCTCAAAACTAGCCCAAAACGACTCCGTTCCGTTCAATCAAAATCGGGTTCCCAGGGGGTCCTGGACTAAAAAAACAACCCCTGGCAGCCCAGGTAGAACCGTGGACTTGGCAACCCTGCTTTAAATCCAATAGCTTTCTGTTGGTCAACGAGGCGAATCGCGTGAGCAGTTGAAATTTTTATCAGCTTTTTGGAATCTCATTCTGACGGCACCCATTGATCCATTGGTGAGCAAGTGATGTAATGCTATATTTCTCCAAATCTGATGAAGAAACAAATTCATCTACATCTTTGATGGTAAACTTTCATCAAATGTTCTTTTTTGGGTGAACCCTTTAAACTCTTTTGGCATTACATTTGTCACATTGACAGATTTCGATGAGTCAAGAATAGAGTCGTTTTACACATTTTCTTTTTAATGAGAAAATAATTATATATGTGTGTACGAGTGAGACTTACAATTACTATAAAACAATATAAGCAGAATATTAACATACAATAAGTGGTTAACATGTCAGAAGAGAGCTTTTGAAAGCATGATTGCATTATCACACCATATCAATATCCCTTTGGTTTCTCCCAAAGGGAACTAGAGCACTCAATAAACCTTTTAAGGAAGCAATTGCAAACGGATTTGCCATAATAACTATTTAAACAATAAGAGCAAAACACGCAACATATTTTTGGTGTTACTTTAAAAGTAAAGATAAAAAACACTGCTTACTTGGTTCAAACTGTGAAAAAAACAATACTTCTTGTGATTTCATTAAAGGCAAGATTTTTTTCTTTGAAAAGCACAAACTGTCTTCTGTGAAATTGACAACGAAACTGAAAATCTATCGCAACAGATGCAGTAGTTGTCATGCACATGGGACACTGGCGAGGAAAATGCTTGACTACAAGTCTAAAGTATGTTTGTAGTTGAAAACTTTAGCATTCACATTAGCGACGGAATTTCACGGACAAAAAGGTAGCCAGTAGTGTGTCCAAAGTCGCTTTCAAACTGTTGAAAAAACCAACATATGCTGGTTAGGTATGTTTTGAAGCTGGGATGGTGGTTTGAGCTGGTCCTTTGCTGGTTTATGCTAGGACCAGCATAAACCAGCAAAGGACCAGCTTAAACCAGCAAAGGACCAGCTTAAAGCAGTTCAAATCAGCATCTCAGCTTCAAAACATACCTAACCAGCATATGCTGATTTTTTTCAACAGGGTTGCCAGATCTGTGGAACAAAACCAGCCCAATTGCTTCTCAAAACTAGCCCAAAACGACTCCGTTCCGTTCAATCAAAATCGGGTTCCCAGGGGGTCCTGGACTAAAAAAACAACCCCTGGCAGCCCAGGTAGAACCGTGGACTTGGCAACCCTGCTTTAAATCCAATAGCTTTCTGTTGGTCAACGAGGCGAATCGCGTGAGCAGTTGAAACACGAACGAAAACTTTTTAGCCCTCACGCAAAAACTCGAATCCCATGCATTATATGTAAACAATTGTACATCAGCCTGAAATTTCACAACATTAAAGGTGCGTTGCATTTATAGTTCTTCGGAGAATTTTCACGGGCGAAATGCAGTTGTTTAAATAGGAATAGGCTATATGTGTATTTAGTGTGAGCGCGAAAGAAATTTCCCAATTTCCAATTTAGAAACACGAATTCGTCGTGGAGACCCAACAGAAAGCTGCTTGATTGTGCTTCATACAGTACTGACAATAGTCAATTAATGTTTTTGCGAATATTTAGCGAAATTTAGCTAATGTGCTTGCAATTCTCGTCTGCTGTTCCCAGATGTCCTCAAAGGCTCATGCTTATGCCATTTAACACATCGACAACTGCAAGACTGCTCAATTTCTAATGGTTCCTTTTCCCTCTGGTATTCTGTTTTAAAGCAATTTGGCCACCATCCTATGCCATAGGAATCCTATTATATTACAGATTTGAACTTTGGCTTATTTCTTATAATTTAGCTTTATGAGGTAAAAACAACCTTTTTTTTGTCCATATCTCATACATTATAATACAAAAGCATGCCATCTTTAGGAAAACTAAAGCTGGCTTTATGTTTCATTTGAACGCTGCACATTTCATGATGCAAAACCAGTCAGCATCACAGTCAATACTTTAACTACTCTGTGCTAATAATGTTACCTGTAGCACCTAAACAAACTAATGAAAACTGCATATAGTATGGCATAGTTGGCCCTCAAATACACACAACACAGGTATATATGAATATAAATGTGCTGTAATAGTACTAAACACCAGTCATTTTGTCCCCCCAAAACTATTTTCCATTCATAGGAACACTGTATATATCTCACACTGCTCAAATAAAAATATTTCCCCCTTATAAAATTCAAATGATTTGCTCACCAACAATAATCATCTCATATCAAAGAATCCAAGTAAAAACCCAATATCCTGCTCGGAGTAAAACTGATGGTCATTACACAATCTCACATCAAGCATCAACACAAACAAACACTTCAGAAAGTCAGTATCCAAGCAATAACTTGGTTGTGAAAATGTGAAGCGGTATAGTATCTCTTGTCTTCAATGCCGAGAGAAGTTTTTTTTTCCCCATAGTCTCCAGAAACAAATCTTCAGAGAGGTGTGAATTCCCAATAAATACTTGTGTTTTTCCTGGTGCACATTTTCCTTCTGGTTTTTCTCTCTTTCTCCTTCTTTTCGGTATACAATGGAAATTTAGTTTACTCTTCCTCCTCCTCCTCCTCCTCCTCCTCCTCTTCTTCTCCCTCAGCCTCTTCCTGGTTGGCGTAGATTCCCGCCTCCCACCGGAGGGCCATGTTACTTTTTCTGCGAGTGACACGCGTTGCCTCCAGAACCTGAAGATAGATATAAAAATATGTGTTAATGACCGTTTAGTTTTTTTGTTATGTGATGATATTTTCACTACAGCGATTTAACTATTTTTAAAATACAAAAACATTTTACGAAGTAATTAGAAGAACATTTCCCTTTCAACCATAAACTGATGTTGACTTACAATGATATTTTATATACTATATATAAAACTTGATTTTCTTAGAAAATCTGTGATTTGAGCTCTAAAATTAAAAAAATGTTTGTTGTAGAAGGGCTACAACTCATTTAACCCTTAATTTTAATATTTCTTTATTTATAATAATAATAATTTATTTATGCATGTAAAAAAATAATAAATAAAGACCTATGCTATAGAAGGGCTGGGTTATATGTTATTTTGTTATACCATGCTATACTGTGGCTATACATTATTTATATTGAGCACAACAAAAAAATTATGTTATTATCAATTTTTAAAGACATTTAGTTATTAAAACATCAATCACACATGTGCAAACATACACACCAGATGGTCCATTTTAGACCACACCTGTCCTAAATACTTTCATGCTGAGTACAAGTTTGGGTCTGATTGTCCAAAACCATTTTAGATGTAAACTACAAGCTTAAGTGCAAACACAGCATAAAAGCAGAAATAATAATGCAGAAAAGAGAACAGCCATGCTGTTTCAAAAGAAATATTGTTGTAAAAACAGGTGCCAAGTGATACACTCACAGGATCCTTTGTGTGCTATTTCAGTGAACCTAAATGTCCAATCTGAAGTTCTTAAACATTATGTAATATATAAAAACACATTTGGGCTGAAATATTAGGACTCTGAATGGAGGTGGTAAAATGAACAAATGAAGACTGGACATTGTAAGTTCATTGACACAGCTTTCATGGGACACCGCACTTTAAATATACAGTAGATCATGTAGGTGCAAATACTTTGACGATTTCAAAATGTGGCTCTGTATAATGTATATGTAATGAATGATGCAATGATACCACATATAATACAACGATTTCATATGTCAAAGTATTTTGCACGGCTACATGCCCCTCCCCCCAAAAAATCATGCAATAACACAAATGAAGGCACAATGAAGTTTGAAGCAAGCATTGCACAAGTACCTCAGTTGTAACTGAGCGGACATACTGACGAGAGGGAAAGAGGAAGAATTTGTTAATGTGCAAACACTTGCTATTGTGTAGAGAACAGCTTCTGAAAGTAGGTCAGCTCACACCAAATAATTATGTTTCTTTCATATGTGTGTATATACTTCACTTTTTATGTTCTATATACAGATCATATTGGCTCAATACTGTGTGCTCTGGGTAAAGCTAATGACTGCATTTGAAATGACTATGTTCTTAACTTGCCACAAGGATCTGTCCTAGGTCCTCTGCTATTTCTTTGTTAGGGCTGTTCCCTATTGTGTTTTTTTTTCAAGGAGCAGGTGTATAGACTATATTTATTAAAATGTATTGATAATTGGAGGTGTTTGTTTGTGTAGGTTCAGGGCCTCACTACCACAGCCACTGTTGATGGAAGACATGTCTTTCTATATTTAGATCTGTGGTTAACCAATATAGTGCAACATAAAGCTCCAGTTATTGTCATTTATTTTGCATTCAGGACTGAAAGTGAATTAAATCCTCAGAGACCAATAATATTGTGGTTCTGAAGCCGTAGCTTTTACTTTGCCTGCATTATAATAAAGGAATGAGATACTGTCAGTGCAGCAATGTAGCAAAACACAGGCACTTTATAGTTTGTTCTCCAAATAATAGCTTTTTTAAAGAGGAAATGTGTAGTTGATATCTGAGAAAGCAAAAGGGGAAAGACTGTGGTTGACATAAAACAGTATGTCCTCAGTATGTGTTCTGTGGTGGTTTTTCACATGGCACAAGTCTTTATGAATTCAGTTTCTAAATGAGCTGGAAAGTCCCGTTTCTTCACTTTGTTAGCATGAGATGAAATAGAGGAACATGGTGTCTGATGTAAGTTATGGCAATTGTTTTTTAACTAATTCCAAATGTCTTTATATAATTCAAGTGAATTAATTTAACCAATTAAAGTGAAAGTGAATGTTTTGACTATACTAGCAAATTGATGTCTGAGAGAATGCAAGTGTAGACAAGAAAAAAAACCACAGACAATGAATTATCCCATACAGTATCACTGATTGATTACCACCATTATGAACCTGACCATAAGTGACTTACACTGTTGTCCTCAGTTTTCTCTCGGCGCTTGACCTTGTGTGTCTCATAGTCCTCCATCAAAGTCTGCATGAAGTTCTTGGGTCGCTGTCCTCCTCCAGAATCATCACTGCCCAGATCAGACAGCGGCGAGGGCAGAGCGCCATCTGAAGAGCACGGCGATGCTGGAGGAACTTGACGAACCTTCTCTATCTTACCTGCAGACAGAAGAAAACAAAACAGAATAATGAATGAATTTTCAAGAAATGTATATAATTTGATATTTCTTTATTTATATTGTAGGGTGTAATATGTCTGGCATACGATCTTGGCCTTTTTCACAAGATCCATTCAAACTCTGTTTCTGTTTTGTTGTTACATTCCATTCCAAGCACTGATATGAAAATTGGAATTATAGTATGTTTCAGCAAGATACTTTTTCCATCACTCATCATTTTAGAGGACATGAAAGGGCCCAGAGTCCCAGACACATTCTTGATGAGGACCCAAGTATGAATACAAGAGGCACAGAGGACTCAGTGTAGAAACCCACAATGCGGTTCCTCATCCCATTAAATCAAGGGAATCTGAGAGAAAACCAAGTCAGAAAAACCAAACCATGTATAAATAAGACATTTATATAAAAAACAAGGCCAAATAAAAGAGTATAATATATTATTATAGGTATTTTTTCCATACTGGCCATAGTTTGTCACATGATATTCTCTGAAACTGAAAGTGCCCTTATTTTCTTTTACTGACGTTGGCAACTCTGGCAAAATTTCCTGTAGAAAGCAAGTGCCTCCTTACAAGAAGTCTATATTTGTCCTCTACAGATCCCTGTCATTATACCACAAGATAGCTTCAAACAAACACTATGGTATTTAGCATTATAGCTAAAAGCAAGCTAAAAGAAAGGACTCATGCTTTCCCTATGACACCACTAGAGAGCAGACATAAGCTTCTCCATACAGAACATCATCAAGAATGAGACGTGGACAATCGCCAACAGGAACAACACACAATGACATTAAACGCTGTGCTGCTGAGCATTACATCTAACTCCATGCTAAATAAAGCCTCAATGGGACAATGGAGTTTAAACATGCTTCTTACCAATCAAACATAAACAGAAACATTTAAAGTACAGCCAGTTGCAAAAATTGCTCAGCCTGCAAAAGCTTGCAAAAATGACTCAGGCTGAACAGCGGGTGCAGACCCATGGGACACAGTGTGCAAGGAATCTAAAGTAAAGAAGCTCTATAAAGAAAACCTCCAGGATTCACGACTGAAAATCACCAGCTTATCAAAGCTCAGAGCTAGAAATCAGAACCTTCGGTTTTAGCTGCTAGTTTGCATTAGTTGTCAAACTGGCATATACACCATCGGAGGAAGATGCATTGATTACTGATTGAAGTACATAATTAACTGGTGCAATCCATGAAAAAAACGTACAAAGAACAGCTGTAGTATGAGTACTAATTTGCAATTTATATGGCTTGTCCTACAGGGCTATCAACTGGGATAAGGGGTCATGAACTGAGAAATCAAAATTCACTTGATCTTTTGACATATAAGAGGTCATTGTACTATAACTACATGCTAAATAAAGCCTCAATGGGACAATGGAATTTAAACATGCTTCTTACCAATCAAACATAAACAGAAACATTTAAAGTACAGCCAGTTGCAAAAATTGCTCAGACTGCAAAAGCTTGCAAAAATGACTCAGGCTGAACAGCGGGTGCAGACCCATGGGACACAGTGTGCAAGGAATCTAAAGTAAAGAAGCTCTATAAAGAAAACATCCAGGATTCACAACTGAAAATCACCAGCTTATCAAAGCTCAGAGCTAGAAATCAGAACCTTCGGTTTTAGCTGCTAGTTTGCATTAGTTGTCAAACTGGCATATACACCATCGGAGGAAGATGCATTGATTACTGATTGAAGTACATAATTAACTGGTGCAATCCATGAAAAAAACGTACAAAGAACAGCTGTAGTATGAGTACTAATTTGCAATTTATATGGCTTGTCCTACAGGGCTATCAACTGGGATAAGGGGTCATGAACTGAGAAATCAAAATTCACTTGATCTTTTGACATATAAGAGGTCATTGTACTATATAACACCCTGTAAGTTTCAGAACTCAAAACTGTCTTGTTAGTCTAAAAACAGCTTATATTGAAGGCAATCACCCAAAACAACAGGTTTTGGAATGTACGACTCTATGTAATAGTGTGGCTAAACACCGCCTCCGCAGAAGAAGATCAATGCCTCCTTCTACATCGCTGCCTGTTTAGCCCTGCCCACCGATTCTACATCACTGCCTGTTTAACCCCGCCAACCAGTTCGCGCAGGTAGTAGGTAAATGATGAGAGCGACAAACGCAGGTCTACGGAGAAACCAAACAATACATTTTATTTGATGAATTGATTTTTAATGAAGTGATAGACCATGTCAGTAAATACTTGGTCCTTCGTTCACTTCATTTTACAGCGGATTCATTTACAAACAAGGCACAGTTCAACACAAGATTTTCAGAAAGACTGAAACTAAAAGATGATGCTTTGTCGACTAGTGTTGTCAAAAGTACCGACTTCGGTACCAGTCGGTACTGCAATTTTAAAAACGTTCATTTCCCGCTAACATTTGAGTGCTGTTGAGAGCGGATTCTTAAACACTGCTAGTTGGCCATAGTGTTCACACACTCAAATGTTAGCGGGAAATTAACATTTTTAAATATGCAGTACCGACTGGTACCGAAGTTGGTACTTTTGACAACACTATTTACATTGGATCTGAAAGTAATGTCGCACCAAATGTGTTACTGTTATTATGTGGTCACTATTGCTTTCTCTGTTATTACAGATCATTTGATATGTACTGAGTGTTTATGCATTTTTAACCTAAAACACAGCAGCGTCCATCTATGAAGGATGTAGGCTGTCAAACCAAGTCAATCATAGCAGTGGGCGTTGACTTCAGAGTCTACAATCCACCACGCATATTCAAACAGAGCGATCTGATGAGGGGGGTCAAAACAGGACAGAAAATAGCCTATTATTTCTAAATTATGTTTTTTTAATGTAAAAATTGTGATAAAATTGTGATAAAGTCATGATAAAGTCATCAAATAAAGCTTTAACCATAAATATCTGACTTATTGTTCTGAGTGTTCAATTATTGTTGCCATGATTGCATACAATGGTTGGATATAATCATACCTGGTGCTGTCTTCCCAGCAAGGACCAGCTTGTTCGGCTGGGTGCCGGACTTTAGCTTCTGTGTACGGGGCAGGTGCAATGTTTGTGCCTGTCGTTGTCTCTTCAACTCTTCCTCACGCTCTTGGGCCGCCCGAATCTCCTCTTCAATCATGGACAGGGTTCTCTGTTTGCGCGAGCGCAGCTTGAACGGTCCTGAGGTGACCTCCGTTTCCTGAGCACGAGTGACAGCTGCAGTGCTCCTGAGCTCTGCTGCTTCAGAGTACTTACTGAAATAGCTGAATTCTGGTTTCTCACTTGGTGGTGGAGAGGGACTGGGAGGTTTGTAAGTGTTCACTGGGATAACCGGGGAAGCTTGAACTACAGTTATCTGAGGAGCAATTGTTTTCTTCTCCTCTAGGGGGGATGGCACTTTGGGAGGTGGCGTTACAGCAGATCTCTCCACTAAAGGTTGGGGCTGTGGTTCAATATTTTCCACATGTCTCTCAGGGATGGGGGATGAATGTTGTGTGGCCTGCAGAGGCTCCCATTTGTCATTCTGCTGAGCAATGGCTTGCTGGATAGCGTTTTGGACAAGAATACCTGCATGGAATTCCAGCTCTTCTTCCGTCAAGCCATCCGCCTGATAAGACCCACTCTGTTCACTTGGAGATTTGATTCCACTTTCATGTTTTCCATTGATTGGTGTAGTGGCCACTGGAGTTGAGGGAAAAGAGTATTCCCCAAGAGAGTTTTCCAAATAGGCACTCATGGTCTCATTTGACGCACCACTGTCGCTTATGTTGTCCATACTGAAGTCATTGGAGAGTGTCTCAAGTACAGTGGTGTCCTGAGACCGTAGGGATAAGTCATCTAACCCGGAGTCGATTTCTTCCATATGGATGGAGCTGTTCAAAGAGCGTCGACACAAATCAGAGTCCTCATCCTTCACAATGGTCATCACTGCCCGGGCACAAGTAAATTCATCATCTTTCAACTCATTCTGAGCCAAACCATCTTTGGGTGGCATGGCAGATTCTCCAGAGCAGCAGTAAATCTTTTCAGCTTTGACTGTAGTAACTTCACTTCCATCGTAGGATGTGACCCCTTCTTGATTGGCAACTGTGACAGAACCGCATGGCCTCTCTACGTGTGTGACCTCTGGAGTCCTGAAGAAAGGTTTAGCAGAGTAAAGCTGTGGTGCCACATTCCTCTTAGGGGCTGTGGGCTGCTTGCTATGTTCCATCTGCAGAAATTGCTTGCGTGCAGCAGAAAAGTCAATCTCTTCCATGGCAACATCCTCCTTATTTGCTATTTCATGTTGGGTAAAGAAGATTGTCTGTCTGGGTGCAGCTTGCGGCATATGGTTGACTTCTGTTCTCATCTGCTTCCTCTCCTCATATCTTCGAAGCGACTCCAGTTGCTCTGGCTCCAGCTCCTCTTCCAGTGTCTTTTCCTGAGGTGGGTTCCACCATTTTGTGGCAATTCCAGGATTCTTCTTGACCGCTTGACCCCGGATGAGTTCCAGCCTTTCCTTCTCTAGCTCAGCAATCTCCTCTGAGGGTCTGACTTTCTTCACCCGAACTTCTTTCTCAGTTGGGGTGTCAAATAGTTTCGATGGTTTCTTCTCTTCATGAAATGGTCGGAGCTCAAAACGTGCCTCTTTCTTGATTGCTGTCCTAGGTGACTCAGGTGACCCTGTACAGTCCCTTGCATGACCATTGGGTTTGGTGTTGAAGTTGTCATCAACAAAAGTGGTCTGTTTTTTCCCTTCTAAAACAACTTCATGGTTGTGTAAGTGAGATGTGTCACAAGTACGCACAGATGGTCCAGTTCCATGAACTTGAATTGACTTAATATCAGGGGAACTTGTCCCATTTGAAGTCATTTCTGCCTTGGGATCACAACAGTTGGCCTCAAGGACCTCGTCCAGGTAAAGGATTTCCTTGGCAACTTCGCTGTCCATTCCTTCTCTTCCATGTCTCACTATATTCTGTCCACTGCTCACATAACTTTGCTGAGAGTCGGTCTGAACTTCAAGCTCCATACTGCTCTCACCACCGGATATCAGACTCACAGAATCGAAAAAACTCACAGTCTTCAGGTTTCTCTTGCTTTTCAGCTCACTGTCATCCTCTGAGAGTACAGGGGACTTCTGGGGAAATAAAAACAGAGGTCACATTAGTTTAAACATGCATTTATGCAATTCTTCTTCACAATAAACACTGCATTATGAATGGGGATGAATACTTGAGTACTCACATATTTGGCAGCAATATGACAGCAAGGATCGATCATAACATTTCTATAATTGCAAGACATGATCTTTTTCTAACCTTAAGACATTCCACACCTTTAAAATTTAGTAACTAGACAGTAATACTTTTGCTGCACAACTGGGTTTGTTTGACGTCAAAGTTTGGTTGGTTTGGATGGCGTGAACACTGTTTTCTGAAGCTGTGTGTGCACATGTAATCCACACTTAAGTCTGCTTGAGGTGTTCTGGGATGTAGTTCTTGTGAACTCTTGCTGTTGATATGAATGAAATTGCAGTACAGATTGCAGAACAACATGATAATGTACAATTTGTCTTTACATGCAAAAAGGCATAATTTAAAATAGTGTAAGATGATGCAATGGTCAACTATGTGCATGGATGGACCCCTGCCCCAAACCAAGCACTTGGTTTGCTTTTTTTGTTTTTTACCTAGTACTGTACTTAAAATGACAAAACATCCCAATTATATTGGTTGCTACACTGCCAGTTGTATGAACATCAGAGAACAAAACAACATCCCATAGGAAATATTGCATGTGACTATCATGCATAATATAGGTAGACTGTGATAAAATGTGGAAGATAATGGGTTTGTTGAACTCTGACCTGTGATATCTGATCCTGAATATTAATAATTTAAGGTCCCTTCAGAGGTCTACAATGGTATAATGGAGTTGCAAAAGTCTCAAAGAGAGGAAAACATGGACCAAACTTAGTATTGGAATTCATGATTGATTGGGGGAAGTCGTGGCCTAATGGTTAGAGAGTCGGACTCGTAACCCAAAGGTTGTGGGTTTGAGTCTCGTACCGGCAGGGATTGTAGGTGGGGGGAGTGAATGTACAATGCTCTCTCCTGCCTTCAATACCACGACTGAGGTGCCTTTGAGCAAGGCACTGCTCCCTGGGTGCTGCAGCAAAAAATGGCTACACACTGCTCCGGGTGTGTGTTCACGGTGTGTGCTGTCTATTCAGAACAGCATATCTGCACTTTATTCTTATTGACCACCGGTACAGCCTGCATTCGGACAGTTATGCACACGCTGCATGCATGCTTTCTGTGTCACGTGTTTTATTTGCGTGGACAAACAGGCAGTTTATCGATGAGTGACAGAGCAGAATAAGGATGGAGCAAAGTGTGGATGTGCTGTCCTTGAAGGACATTCAACTTAGTTTTGTTTAGATTTTGCTTAGCCTATAATTTTAAATGACAGATGTCGTATTTATTTATTTTTCTCTGCGGCACTTTTCCTACTGTGTTAACAGAAAAATGTCAAACGAATTTAGTATTTTGACAAGACGAATAAAAATAAGAATTACAATTTTTGTACAACATTTTTATTTTCTCTGAAAATTCTTTTCCTACTGTGTTAACAGAAAAATGTCAAACGAATTTAGTATTTTGACAAGACGAATAAAAATAGCTCATAGGCTATTTTTGTACAACCTACATTTTTATCCTTTTTCTCTCTGCGACACTTTTTCCCTATTGTGTTGTCAATGATAAACGAATTGTATCCTGACAAGACGAATAAAAATAAGAATTACAATTTTTGTACAACATTTTTATTTTCTCTGACACTTCTTTTCCTACTGTGTTGCATAAAATATTAAACAAATTTTGTGTTTTAAGATAATTCATATAAATTCAAGTCAAAGTTGATCAAAACTCAAAACTCAAATTCAAAATTCAAAACTCTTGACAAGACGAATAAAATAACATACCATTTTGTGCAGACTACACTTTTATTTGTTAGCCTATCTCTCTTTGTTTCAGTAGCGGAAATTTAAATGTGAGATTCTGGAAACGAGATCTAAATTTAGCGGGAAAGGTCGTGTCGGGGAAAAAATTATTCTAAGCAGGCAGCGGGTGAACAAAGAGTGAATATATAGTGGGAGCGGGTGGGTGCGGAATATAACCTTGCGGGAGCGGGACTAACAAAATAGTCCAGTGCAGACCTCTACCTCCATGTCCATGTCTAATGGGTGTAAGTGGGTAATAGGTCCTATTTACTTACTAAAAGAAAAACACAGATGTCTAGACTATGTAGACACTCTTTATTTACAGAGCAATAATTGCAGGGGTTCTTCTATTTCGTGGATCTGGTACTGAAACCTTTAAGTGGTCTGGTAACCCTGTGGGAGATGGCTGAGATGCATTTGCAGAATGAAGCACTGCATGGTCTCCTCAGGCGAAATACTACTTGTTACGCTGAGCTTTGCTTTCATTGCTGCTCACTCACCAGATGGGACAGACCTTTTTAAATTAAAAACTCTGACAGAGTCTTTTGTATTTACACAATCTGACGTCATTTTCAGTGTCCCAGGTTTAGGTTCATCAATTAGTATGAACTGAAGTAATGCTGAGATTATTGTGGAATGACAATCTTGTTAAAAGTTTTGTTGACTTAGTCTACGTGAGTTTTTATTTGAGGCTTTCTTGTTTAATGTTGGCTACAAATTTGGTATGCTGGTCTTCTGTTCCAACTGCATGAAATTCCTTTGCTGATATTGGCTCCAAGTTTGGACAACACAGTGTGCCACAAACCAACGTAAATAGTACTCCAGAAAACTTTTAGCAAACCTTTAACATACAAAACCACTGTATCAATACAAGATACTAACAATGTGAGAGAGTTATTGCTTGTCAGACCTGTCTAAAGTGCAGTTTTACTAAACCAAACCAATCCGCTGTATTCTCTAGTAATCAGAGGCCATTGCAGGAATTCTGTTTCTTTGCTCAGCATTTATGTTTTAGAGGTGAGCATGCATGCCTGAGCAATTTCACTTGTTTGCAGTTGTTTGAAAGTAGGTGTTCCTGAAAAGGCTAGTCAGAGACCTGTTTAAAATAGCAGTAATATAACCTGCCATAAATGGAAAAGCATAACAAACTAGTGGGAATGAAGCATAGAGATGTTATTTTTACTGGACAGCCTAGAAAAGAGGAATTTGTTCTGAAATTACTTAATTTTCAGCTCAAAGCCAAGTGCTATTTCAGGTGATGGTGTGTTCATTGCCACATAAAGTAAACCTATTTCTGTTTAAACACTGGGTGGAACAAAACCTGTATTACATCATTGTATATTTTTATACTAAAAATGTTACAATTCATACAAAATCACCAACTGTAAAGCAGTTACATATTCTCAAAAGATTGGGTTGCTCTAAAGGGGCAAAACATTTTATGCCCAAGCCTGTTTAAGCGAATCAGAAGAATTAATTCAGATCAAACAAGTGTTAATAACTTCCTTCTTATCTCAAACTGTAGTGTGTATGAGTAGCAGGCACATGATGTCTTTAATGTGGCATGAGTTCAATAAGACCCCTTTCTTCAGCGCACAGACCACCCTTCCCCTCAGGGTGTGTTCATGAGCTTTCAGCCCAAACTCTTACCAAATAATGACATTAGGAAGTCATGTGAACTTCCTCGAGGCTGTGAAAAACAGACTAGGACAGATTTACAGACAGAGAGAGAATGTTTATCACTTTGAACTGAGCACCGCATTTACTCAAATTATTTGTAAAATGGTTCATTCAATCCACCACTTTTTATGTAAGAATGGTTTTACAAATCATTGACAGAGCAATTCATACAGCTCATAAATAAAAAGGTCATATTTGACTTCAATTTGGTGGTAATGAGAATTGCATAACAAACAAATTAAGACAAATTGATGTTCTACAAAATACATGTCTTCATTTTCTAGAAGCACAATGTAATTTATTGGATAGATTTTAGTATGGCTTCTAGAAGTATAGAGAATGTAATTTATGAATCATGACACTATTCAAATATTCCAGTGATGGGCTTCTGGAAGAGAGAACTCAACACAGCTATTGACTGGCACACTTTCTGGAGAAACTGTTTTGTTACCTCAAATAACCTGGCTTATCAACTGATTTATTATAAGTTCATTTATAAGGCATATATGCCACTCCTTGTTTATTATATAAGATGAAAAGACGTGTCCTGTTCAAGCACTTTCAAGCACAAATTAAGCAGTTAAAGCAGTTTTCCAAGGTCCCAACCAACTTTCCTACAGGAAAGAAGAAATCACAAATAAGATCTCAATTAGCTCTCATAGCAATGAGTTCTAATAGAGATTTAAATCATTTGTACCGTCAACTGTTTGGTTACCAACATTCTTCAGAATATCTTCTTTTGTGCTCAACGGATGACAGAAACTCATACAGGTTTGGAACAACATGAGGGTGAATAAACAGTGACAGAACTTTCATTTTTGAGTGAAATGTCCTTTCAAGTCTCTTGCTCAAGTTTTTCTCATGAGAAAAAACCCCAGCAATTTCATATTAGTCTTTTAACTAATTGAGATAAGATCTCAATAGTGTCCCAAACAATGCTCAGATTTGTCAAGATACTGTTGTAACGAATCAGCTCATGGGAAATATGAATAATTAACCATAACTAGTTATGATTAATTATTAGTGTGTCAGATTGGTCGAGACGCTACACTGTCTGTAATTTTAATATGAGCTCAAACATTGCATAAAAACAACAGTGACCATCAACGTTTATCTTCAGAAAAGAGTTGGACATGAATTACAGCATTGCAAACATGTTAAACTAAAGTGTTTGAAAAAAAAAAAATTTAATGAGGAAATGAACTAACCCCATGAAGCAAAAATACTTTAAAACATAAAACTTTATGATTGATTATGCAAAATCAATATACTTAAAATTTATTGCAAAATATTCAAATAAATACAGATATAGCCATTGTTTGAGTGATCAAATCAACTAACGGAGCTTTTTTTTTTTTTAAACTAACCTATGATATTCACATTCATTTAATGCTCTATACTGTTACTGTTTGTGAACATTTATTTCTTAAAGGGGTCATATAATGCTACATGTACTTTTACAAGTTGTTTGAACTGAAATGTGTGTAGGCAGTGTGTGTACACAACCACCCTATAATGATAAAAATCCACCGAGTGGTTTTTTGTTAATCTACTAAAATCTTTACCCCTTTCTCAAATCGAGCCGATCTCAGATGCCTGTCTGTGTGACGTCACACAGACAGGCCCCTCCCTCGACAGTTTGATTGACAGTAGCGTTTCAGCACAGACTGGACTGGCGTCTTACCTCAGACCCACCCTGAGTGACTGTCATCAGTCCGCCATTGTTTCACCGCCGGAGCAGATGTAGACAAGAATGGCTCCTAAGCGATTGAGGTGTTTTGTTGTTGGATGTAATAATGAACATAGCAGTCCTCATTTACTCCCGACATCTGAAGATGCAGTGGATTATGTTTGTTTTTGAAGGGAATGCGCCCCCCGATCTACATAAATGCGTCTATGTTCGTGCAAATCATTCGTGATCCAGCTTCACCAACAGAAGAAGTGAGTGTAAGGTTTTTTAATGAATATTTGCAAATCGACTTTCCTAATAATGTGCTAATT